GGGGGGGGGGGGATTGAATGAACCAGGAATATTTCATGCCGAGGAGGTTGCTTGCTTCTCTTTTCTCAATTTCGGCCGTCTCCCTTTGTTCTGCTTTGTGGTTGTAGATCGGGAACCTTTGGTTTTCGAGAAAGAGAAATACTCTTTTCCACATAACCATAGGTTCAATCTAACAAACACTCCAGAACTAAGAAAATCTTTGTAAAGTTCAACCAATCGGTATTTGAAAGCCATGATTAATGTCAAGGTTTACCGACAAATCAAATGAACTGGTGCGTGCGCGGAGGGGCCACTAGGAAAGTGGAAACAGTTGGAACCCCCATGAGAGAGGGGTGAAGTAAAGTAACAAGGTGTTGTCAGCTTGAGAGCAGGGGTGTTTTCATTAACGATGAAAAAATGGCAGCTTAAAAGGAAACATTAAAACGATCCAATTTTATTAAAAGTCTTGAAAACATACTATGTTACCAGGTTCAACTGGAAGAAATGGGTGTTCCCATGGAGGGATCCTTCGAACAGAACTGGTTTCTTATCTCGGATATGGGGGATACAGGTACAGAAACTGATCTGCAATAAATTGGTTTATTTTTCAGAACTTCTGGATTTTAACCCTATTCCTGCANAAAATTCCGCAAATTATATTAAAGATCAAAGACGACATTCAACTCGTCTTGCAACTGTCATGTTAATTGTGAGACTGTATTTGAACGGAAAGAATCAGCATATATCACGTTATGTATGATGTGAAAGGTAGAATACTGGATACTATCTATTTATCTATTTTACAAATGAAAAAAAACACTTGAATCTTAAAGAGAGAGGCAGTTGAAAATGAACAGATCCACTTTATAAATATAAACGTATAATACAGGGGCCACTCAAGTTTTTAAAAATTGTATTAAAAAAGTAAATGTTCGTGGTACTACTAATAATTAAGCCTTTGCTCCTATACTCCTTTCAAGCTCATGATGTGAAAGAAGGTTGGTGGAATTTGTTAAAACTATTTTTTATCAAAAAAACTTTAGAAAAAGAGGGCAAAAAAGATGCGAGATTTTAAACTTAATGGAATTAAAGTTAAATCAATTTACTGGATTCAACATAAAATTTAAATTTCAGATAAAGTACTTGGAAGACAACATAGCGTCCCATATCATATTAGATTATCTCTAATCTTTAACGACAAAATAAACCCTTAATACTCGAAAAACTTATCATTTTCCGCAAGAAAATTATTATATAAGCCTTATGTTATTTTTCAAAATTGATTTATTCTAATTAAATTTTCTTATTAGTCCCGAAAATTGCAATTTAGACCTGTTGACGGTCTAATATGATGTGGGACACCCTGTATAATCAAACAGATAAATGTAGATAAATGTTCTGAGATGGTAACTTTTAAATGAACGGAATTAATTGCACAGATATCCGATATCCCATTCGTCAAAAGTTCGGACTTATTAGAGCTTGGAACAACTCTGGCAATTTTGTTTAAATAAATAAATTAATAACTTATTTCGTCCATACATAAAGACAATTTTTTAAATAACTGTTTGTATATAACCATATATCTTGAAATCAATTCATAAATCTTTATCTATCAATTTATCTGTTTCCGTCTGTTTCTCTCTCTTGACATTCTTCTAATTACAATCGTGTTTATCGAGTTTTCACCTTTAATATTTGTCTAGGACCTGTCGTCTTCTACAGAATGGTTGTGTTTATCCAGGGGAAAAGGTTGGGGTTCATTGACAGAATAGATCAAAATCTCAAGGTATTGAAATTCTTAAAAAAGGAAATATGCGAAAATTCGCAATTTTTTGCTCCATAATAATAAATAATTGCTGATTTCTTTCTAAAGAAATCAGCAATTATTAATAACGCGTCGACCCTAAATATAGCTAGCATTCGCTCTAGGGACTTAAGATGTAATTTTTAGTGATCCTTTATTTATAGAGTGCTATGTTGTATTCACAACGGTACCCTTTCAACCTTTGACTGACCTTAAAAATTCGATTACAAATATTTTTTGAATTTATTTTTAAATTAAAATTTTCTTAAAAAATTTAACTTTTTTAATATTTCATTTTGCTTAGATTGGAGAGCAGGTTACATGTGATGTTGCTTGGAATCAGCATGAAGACGGTTCCTATTATATCAGTGGTGCACCAGGTAGTATCCTTAAAGGGATAGTTTTCCTATTTCCAAGTATACGGCCTAAGACGGCCTTACTACTGAAAAATGTACCTATAAAGGCCAAATTAATCTATTCTTGTCGAGTTATCATAGTATTTTTGAGGCTTTTAATGGTGTATATTTTTTGGTTGAAAGTCTTTTTTCCCCCAAAATTTAAGCATGTTTTATTCGCTGAACTGGGGAAAATAAATGAATTTTATGGGAAAATAAATGAATTTTATGGGAAAATAAATGAATTTTATGGGAAAATAAATGAATTATCTGGGAAAATAAATGAATTTTATGGGAAAATAAATGAATTTTATGGGAAAGTAAATGAATTTTATGGGAAAATAAATGAATTTTACGGGAACATAAATTAATTTTATGGGAACATAAATTAATGGGAACATAAATTAATTCTATCGATAAAAAATTGGATTTTTGGGTTAAAAGTATTGAAAAGATAAAAAAAAACTTGCCTGTTTGATCTAAATTTTCACCAATTTTCCCCTAGATCATCAAACCGGTTTTATTAAAATTTCTTGGAATTTTTTTTCCTTTCATCTTAAAAAATGTTTTAGGTGGTTATGCAGCAGTTTCTGTCTACAAAGGACCTAAACCAATCAAGTAGGAGGCTTTTTTTAATGAACTTTTAAATCAAAGGATATAGTAGAAATCAGCCAAAAGATTTAAACAAAAGAATTGCTTAGATTAAACCATCAGGAGGAGGTAATCCGACTGAGCGTGTTTTAAGTACAAAAGCTGTGACCTCTGTCCGAAAGTACAAAAATTGTCACCTCTGTCCGAAAGTACAGAAGTTGTGACCTCTGTTCGAAAGTACAAAAGTTGTGACCTCTGTTCGCTTAGATTTGAAGAACGGCGTGAGACGAGTAAAGTGAGTGCAGAGGAGAGTCACAAGGTTCAGATTTTCCAGCTTCTAGAGGATCCATCAGGATCTGGAGCTTATACTTCAGGTAGACTGGTTGGTTGGTTGGTTGGTTGGTTGGTTGGTTGGTTGGTTGGTTGGTTGGTTGGTTGGTTGATTGATTGATTGATCCATCCATCATAGCATCGTTTTATTGATTATTTGATAAGATTGTATGATTACTTCTTTATTTGAGTGATGATTAAAATGATTGAGATTGATTAATATTAATTGCCATTGATTAATTGAACACAATAAATAAAATTGATTGATATATATTTATTTCTTGAGATGAGAGATAGCTTTATAGTGATTGGTATTGATTGATTCAGAGATTTGATTGATAGATTCAGAGATTTGATTGATGATTTCATATATGAATGAGATTGATTAATATTAATTTATATTGATTGATTGATCACAATTGATATAATTGATTGATATATTGCTTGATATTGATAGATTGTGTGATATTGATTGATTGATACGATTGCGTGACATTGATTGATTGAGAGATTGCTTGATATTGAATGAATGAGAGATTGCTTGATTTCGATTGATTTAGTGATTGCGTGATGTTGATTGATTGATTGAGAGATTGCTTGATATTTAAGGATTGTGTGATATTTAAGGATTGGCTGTGATCCAGATGTCTCCAATGATACGGGCGGACTGTGCCTCTGCCAGTATGGTTGGAGAGTTCTGCAGATTCAGAAACCAGGCTAGCACCAGAAATAATTTGTTCATTTGGTTTTTATACAATGAAAACAGGGTTGAGCTCCGCCACTTGCCCCGGTCTATGTGGGATCAAGTGGATCTGTCCTGATTTCTTTAAGGGTTCAGTTTTATTTTTATTTTTACTTTTTCAGTTCTTAGTCGAGAAGCAGAACTCTTTTTACCATTAATTTATTTTATTTTGTTTACCTTTTTTCTCTTATATTTCTCACCTTTTCAGCTCTCTTTAAGTAAGTCAGTTTTTCCGGATCCACAATCCACATACTCAAAATAAACCAAAGACAACACCTCTCAGCCAGTTTTTTTTCTCTTAAATGTTATCGCATAACAGGAAATACGAAACTTTTTGTATCCATTTATTTTGAAGTTTATATAAATATCAATATTCGGAACTAATGGATCCAAATCAAATCTGATTTTATTATTAAATTTGTTTATTTCATGTATAATGATTTCTGTGTGCACAGGATTTATACTACTGTGGAGTAAATTTAGCAGGTAATATTGCTACCCCCCCCCCCTCAAATTGATTATTTAGGTCATATGTCTTCAAAATTGAGGTTGAAGTCAAATATTTTAAGTTTTTTTCCAGATCTATTAAATCTTCAAAATACAAAGCCCTTGTCCCGTATAATGTTATCATTTTCAATTTGGAATTATTCACACGCTCTATAAGGCAAAAATATGATAATCACACGAGGATAAAAATATAATAATGGAAATTCTATAACGAGATAGAATAATCTTGATATATTTTAAACTGAATATTTTTATGATTTTAAATATATTAAGCTTTCACAATTTAACAATTGTTGATCTATCCAACCTGTTTCAGGGGTTGATCTATCCTACCTGTTTCAGGGGTTGATCTATCCTACCTGTTTCAGGGGTTGATCTATCCTACCTGCTTCAGGGGTTGATCTATCCTACCTGTTTCTGGGGTTGATCTATCCTACCTGTTTTAGGGGTTGATCTATCTTACCTGTTTCAAGGGTTGATCTATCCTACCTGTTCCAGGGTTTATCTACTTTACCTGTTTCAAGGGTTGATCTATCCTACCTGTTTCAGGGGTTGATCTATCCTACCTGTTTCAGGGGTTGATCTATCCTACCTGTTTCAGGGGTTGATCTATCCTACCTGTTTCAGGGGTTGATTTATCCTACCTGTTTCAGGGGTTGATCTATCCTACCTGTTAATGCCCGGAGACTGTTTCAACGGTAACCTGAATATGCTGGAGGTGAAAGAACAGAGAGCACAGTATGAAGTTAAGGTAATGAAACAGATCCGAAATTTGTATTATATTCAGAGTTAGGCTTAAAACCAGTTTCTCTCCTTATTACAGAAAGGAAGATTAGGTTTGTGCTGACAATTTTGGGAAACAGTTACAAAGGCAGTGAGCTGGTGAAACTTATCATGAATGAGCACCTGTCAGAGCAGAACTCTCCTTTCTACACAGATCTGGGAAGAAGATTGAACCCAATAAATTTGAAGCCTGAAAAAATCTCCAAATCTTCAGTGAACTTTTTGCTGAAGAAGGAAGTTGAGATGATCAAAAACCAAATTGCAGGTCTGAAATCCTTAAATGCCCTCCCTCTCCCAAAAGTATGGTGGCGCAAGCAGCTCTATATCAAGGATGAGACTTGAGTCAAGGATATTGACAGAATTCCGCTGCGGTAATGCAAGGCTTGGGAACAGGGACAACAGCTTGACTGAAGTAGCAGTACACAATGGGCAAGGTCGAGTTGTAAATTGCCCTCTGTGCCTCTTAGGTCCAAACAATGAGTCTCACCTTCTTATTGGTTGCCCAGCTATGGGCCAAATTAGAAAATCTTTGTTGGTCTCTGATAAGGTCTCCCTGGATTTGTGGATTACAACAAACCGAAGGCATAATCTTAGTAACACTGACCTAGCAAAAGTGTTCCTTGGAGAAGAAGGGGACTTGAAACTTGGGGATTTTGTGTCCAGAGGATACCTGTTATTAGACCTTCGAGAGTCATTTCTAATGAAAATATATGAACGCCTAGATCTGTAGTTGATGATGAAGACCCCGGATAGAGGTAAGAAATGTCACCCCTTTTTCATTTTTTCTAGGAATTTCAGATATAAATCCATATCCCAATTCTATAACACTCCTTACTAATCACATATTCATTTCCAATAGTCATTGAAAAAATATTAAGGTTTATCCGATTTTTAAAAAAAAATGCCAGCCAGGCATTATGAGGACATAATCAAGCTGGTGGACTGCTTTTGTAGCCGCTTAACACTGGGCTACACTGTTGTAGTTTACGGTGACAAGAAGTAGGGACATAAAATAAATTCAATACCTATTTTGTGACCAATTTCGAAGAGCCAGCCTAAATTTGTCTTATGTCTTATGTCTTATGATAATGCTCTATTTGAATTCTAAACATCTAAGAAGTTAAACAATATTAATCTTTATTCTCTGATATTTTTGGGTTTTTCTTGTTCAACATTTTAACTATATGTACCCTTAAAAGATTAGACTTTAATTGCAGTTTAAAATTCAAAAATTATACTGATCTGAAGGTTAAATGTTTTGGTCTGCCCTGCATATTATTTTTTAATGATATATCTAATAATCTGGCAAGCAAAAATACACGTTTATTGTTTCTACCAAGAATGCAAGGAAAAAGACTGCGTCAAATTACGTACAGTCGTCTCTGAAGTCTCATTCTATCTGAGTAACCCTGTATATTGCATTTGTATATACTACATGCATTTTTCTCAGTTGGAAATTTATTAACTGAAAGATAAAGGTATTGGAGCCGGTGCTCCTTTACACTTTACTCTTAAAGGAGGCCAGTCCGCCCTTTCAAAGTTTTTAAAAAAAGTTTACAGTTTTTCGTATTAATTAACTTTTTATAAAGTTTCTAATGTTTTTTTTAGTTATTTAAAAATATTTATAAGGTTTACTTGTTTGAATTTTTGTGAAAAAACTACATGAACAAGGAAAGCCAATGTTGAACAGGATCAAATTGTTAAATTTTTTTTTCGTTAATGTTTTCTCAACAAACTCTAGGATGGCCATTTTAGGTAATGATGTCAGAGCTACTGTTGAAACCAAAATCAAAATATAAGATCCTGTAAAACAAAGTTATAATGTTAAATATGAAAGGGAAATTTTAAGTTATAAGCTGAAGGGTTTTGTTCTGAGATGTTGGATGGGTCAATCTGCTGAACAATCCAGAGATAATTTCAAGGATGTACATGGGGAGGAAGACTTAAGCCGCCCAAATTTATCAGATTAAGTTCTGCGCCGAAGCATTTTTCGAAGTGTCTTCTTTATAAACAAGATTATGTATCTAATCAATGTTGTAAGTCTGGTTTAGAACAATGTACAAGACGAGAAGTTATATAATTAAAGTTAATTTTTGGAAAAATTCTTGGGTTTTAAAAAAAGTTAAAAAATTAAATGCTGCTGAGTTCTGTGGGATGACGTGAGATGTTTCGGTCTACCGTAAAATCCAGAGATGATTTCAAGGATGCTCGGGAGAAGGAAAACTTAAGCTGCCAACTTTTCCAGAAGAAATTCTGAGTTGAAGCATTTTTCGAAATGTCTTCTTCATTCAAAATATATACTACACACAACACTAACTATTCCAGGTTAGGCTAGGTGAAAATAGATAGATAGCGGCCATGATAGATAAATAGTTAGATAGCCGCTAAGGTTTCTGTTTTGTGAAAGGGGGGCGGGTAGTCTAGTCGGTATTTGACCTAGTTTTGTATTTCTGATATTTGTCAAGGTTGGATACTTCGGTAGATTTGAACGCGTTGAATATCCGATCCCGGAGCTCAGTTCTATGCACGCCAAGATGAAGAAGAGGTTTCTAGACTGGGAGACACTGGAGGCCGTTCTACTTAGGAAAACTTCATTAACAATGAATTAATCTATGTTATGTTTCACCTGTATGCTAATTTTTTGTGGGGAATTCGGTAATAATTTTTCTACTCCCCAAAGTCATTTTAAAATTTCCTAAAATATCTTTTTTTCTGATTAAAATAACCTCAGCCCTGATTTTTTCGAAATGATGGTTGAATGTTTTTTATTGATTTATTTCTTATTTTAGTTACTTATTTATAAAACAAAAATGAAATTTTAGAAAAGTACCGCCTCGTGTTGAGACTATTCCCGCCGGAATGGCGGTTGGAAGGTCAGTTAATAATTTACACACCAAGATTCAATGGCTTTTAAAACTAATTCTTACATTTTGGAATGGCGTTCATTATTAATATTACGAAATAAAACAATTTATAATCCAAAGTAGAAAATCTTCTTCGCGGCAAGAGCGCTCAACAATTTTTATGCACTTCCTTGCCCACGCCATAAGGCCTCTCTGTTAAAACCTTGTTTGCTCTAGACTGAAAAGTGAGTATGCTGCAGAGAGCAAGAACACTGTATAAATTTACATGTTTCTCTAGACTGAATTTGTTTGAACCTGTACAGAGCAAAGCAATTGATAAAACCTTGTTTTCTTTAGGCTGAATTTTCTTGAACCTGCAGTGAGCAAAGAAACTTTAAAAACCATGTTTTCTTTTTGCTGTATTTGCTGGAACCTGCAGAGAGCAAAGAAACTTTAACAAACTTGTTTTCTCTAGACTGAATTTGCTCGAACCTGCAGAGAGGAAAGAAACTTTAACAACCTTGTTTTCTCTAGGCTGAATTTTCTCGAACCTGCAGAGAATAAAGAAACTGTGTCCAAGGGAACAATTCTATTGGAAGTTGGCCCTTATAAGGTAGGAATATAACTAGATATTATTCATTTTAATATGGGTTCAAATCTTGCCCAACTCCCCTCTGCGCAGTACAAAGAAATACTGATTTAAAATCTAAATTTAACTTGGGCCCTAGTCCCTATTTTTATTTCTTATGATTAAAATTTTGTTTCCAGTGGGATTTTTATCGGGAAAGTAAATCATTTTTAAGGATATATAATCCCCCCCTAAATATATTTAATACCCAGAAATCAACAATAGATAATTTTTCCCTCTTACATTCCTAATCCCTTCTGCCAGCTGCCCTAGAGTGAGGGAATCTCTTAACCCATCCCCCTCCTTATGTTCACATTTGGCAACTGACCCTGAAAGTATAAACTATAATTAACGGTTTTAAAGGTAATATACTGTATTGGTCTATATAATGTACTGTACTTGTATAGATAATGTACAGTGCTGTCAAGATATTGTACTGTACTTGTTAAGATAATGTAATGTATTTGTCAAGATTATGTACTGTACTAGTGAAGATAATGTGATGTATTTGTTAAGAAAATGTACTGTACTTGTTAAGATAATGTACTGTACTTGTTAGGACAATGTAATGTGTTTGGTAAGATAATGTACTGTATTTGTTAAGATAATGTAATGTATTTGTTAAGATAATGTACTGTACTTGTTAAGATAATGTACTGTACTGTTAAAATAATGTACTGTACTGTTAAGATAATGTACTGTGATGTTGGTGGAATCAAAGATTATCCCGAAGGACAATATGTTTCACAAAGATGCAATCTTATTCAACCAAAGGTATTGTAAATACACAGATCTTTTTATATTCCAGTGCTTAGTTTCTTTTTTATAAATATATGACGGATCCAGGATCCAGGTTCAGCATCAAATGAACAACAACTAAATAAACCGCGTCATTATTTGCAAGCTTTTTATTTAGAATGATCAGGCCAAAAATTCAGATTCAGATTCGGAAATTGAATCCTATGGTTGGGAAAAAATGTCCTCCACAGGACAAAATATTTGTCCAACTTTTGAACAATTTGACACTAATGTTAGATTGCAACTCTAGGGATGCAATCTAATTAATTGCGAATTTTTCTGCCAATAAGTTGCGGCTTTACAACTCCGAAAACATTAATGATATTTGCTTTATGATGAACGCAAAAATATGTGTTGCTAAACTAACTAGATTTTATAGTTTTTATAACCTGAAAAGAGTAGATTTTGATTTAAATTAAAATTTTATATTTTAATAAGAGGAAAAATTTCCATGAATTTTTTTTAAATTTGAAAAAATTGCATGTCTCCTTATTTACGTGAGGCAACAAGGATTCAATACATATAGGAAACAATATTACATTGCCTTGGCTTCCCTCGGCCTTGTTGGGACTTGGAAAGTCTCGGCAATGTAATATTCTCTCTTAGATTAATTGCATTCCTAATTGCTTCCCTATAATGACCTAGATTAATTGCATTTCTATTGCTTCCCTGTAATGAAGAGATAAATAGTTATTATTCTAATTGTTTAGGATGGAGAAGCGGAGAATAAGGATGATCCAACAACGTTTTCACTGCAGGCAGATCATATCATTGGCCTTATCATTCTGAAACTTATCAATTAATTAAACAAAATGTTTTGATCAGGACTGACAGGCAAAGAGGTCGTGTTGTTTTTGTGAAAACACATTATTTTATATAGATCACCATATTTATTTAAGGATTATATTTGCTGAATGTGAGTAAAATTTGTGTTCAAATTATTTCGCCAAAGTGTTGTCATCAGGATCAGAAGTCATAACTTTTGTATAAAATAAAGCATGATCTCGATATCCATATTCTATAGGACAACTTGTAAATTGGAAAGATGAATGCTTGATCCCAGCATTCACTACACAAGTTTTGACTTTAGGAGATACTACTCAAAAAATCCAGAAACTTTGTTCCACAAAAAAAACTAGTTATTAAAAAAAATATACGGTATACTCACTATACACTCTTGGAGTGATTAGAAATGAATATGATATGAATATAGGATAGAACAGCTTTTTTGGCCTGGCTTCATCAAAGGTGATTTTTTTTAGTTTTGTTGAGGATTTATTAAAAAAAATCAGTTCTAAATCTGTATTTTTGTTCAGGAATCTGACGTATTCCATGTTCCAACGTGTTCGGGCCAAAACTGCTCCCTTCAAATATTTCATTCCTTTCCCTAAGGTAAAAGAAATCATATCCATTACTCCCGTTATCCTACCTATTTTTTTTTGAAAGACTAACTATTTTGTTATTAACCTTAATTTCTTGCAAACGAGGGGGGAGGGGGACAATGGGATATTGCTAAAATATGATTCCGGCGAGTTTGCACGGTTTTGGTAATTTAAACTAAAGTAAAGTAAATGATCCGGCCAGGAGTCGGAGGTAAAAAAGGAAAAACCTAAAATATTCTCTTACTGATTAAAGCTGTAGATACAAGCCACGGTAGTTGGGGTTTCACGGCTTCAGCTACTTCCACTCTGGCATAACAGTATCATTGCACATGTCATGCTAACTCTGTGACCCATGTACTCCTAAGTGAGGCAGAGGGTTGCCGGGAGGGGTGGTTTCCTGGTAACATTTGTGTTATTGGGTTGTCATAATAGATAAATAGATTGTTTCTAATTAAAAGTTTCCGTTGTGGATATTAAGTTCATTTAAATTTTTTTCTCCAGAAGTTATTTTTGTTTTTAAGATTTGTTCCTCTAAATTGGGGAAAATATTGAGAAATAAATGAATTTTGGGAAGAAGTATCAAAATGATGAAAAAAAAGGCATTTGATGTCCAATTCTTAAAATTATATAAACAACCTTTCTTATTCTTTTCTTATTCTCATTCTTATTCTTCTTTCAATGATTTTTTAAGAACATATCAACCTCTGTATTCTTATATTCCATCTGATACCCTAGGACAGTACACTGAGTGGACGGGTGGTAAGCCTAGATCCTGTAAGGATGAAGAGAGGAGCCACTGCTGGAACTATTATTGTGGACAGTGGACTTATCAACCTTGAGAACCCAGCTCCAGGCCAGCCAGGGGTCAAGGACATGCAGGTCAGGCTCAGAAAAGTCTTATGGCGAGTTAAAATTGAATAAAAAATGAATGTACATGTATACTTATATGTAAAATATACCTTTACCAGTAACCCCCAGTTCCTCTAGATGATAAACTTCTGAATAATATATCAGGGAGTGAAGGTGACCTTTCATAGAACCAACTTCTGGGTGTTTGGTAGAAAGATGGCAAAAGCTGATCTCACATACCTGATTCAACCTAATCACAGGGTCCTGCTAGAGTGCTCAGAGATTTCTCCACAGGTAGATATTCATCCATTCATCAAATCATTCATTCATTCATCCTTCTTTCCTTTTCTTCTTTATTCATTTTTTCTTAATAAACTATATCAAAATTAATCACTTCTAAAGTATTCAGAGATATCTCCACAGGAAGATATTCATCCATTCATTCATTCACTCATTGATTTTTCTTCCCTTACTCATTCTTTTATTTTTTCCTTCATGCATGCATTTATCAGGTTATGTTTGTTCAATTATATATCTCATGATTTGTATCACCTTTTTCTGTTAATTAATTTAATAAATAACATTTTTTATTGATTCTTCATTTATTCATTTATTGGTTTTAATTTAATTTGACTAAATGTTTTATTCAGGAGAGAGAACATTATTCTACCCTACCAGCCAATATTCAATACAGAGCAACTATTGTTTGGGTCGGTGAGTGTCAAGTATTGAAATCACCTTTTCTAGATTTTATTTTTTCTCTTTTAATTACTAAGAATACCTTTTGATCTTGGGACATAATAAAATCACGATGTGCCTGCATTTTGTGGAAATAATTTTTCTTTATTATTAGTTTTTCCGTTTTTAGCACTTTAGACCATTTTTTTCATATTAAGGTCCTGCTCGTCCCCGGAATGACCGTGATGACCCAAACCGTAATGACGTCAGTATATTCGACTGGCTCGCTAAAAGGAACATTTAGAATTTATTGCTTAATTATAATTTGAAAATAACTAAAATTACTTACGTTTGTTACCATATCAGAGTATTTTTTTTAACAATGAATTTTAAAATCTTTAGAGGTTTGAATATATCTCAGTTTAATAAACTTGTCGAAGGAGGGATGCCACCACATAATCCAATGGAGTTAGATCACAGGTAGGGTAGAGAGGGGGAGGGATGCCACCACATAATCCAATGGAGTTAGATCACAGGTAGAGTAGAGAGGGTGGAAGGGATACAAGCTCACAATCCAGTAAAGTTGGATTGACCGATATACGATTTTTAAAAAACCATTTTTCCAGAAACTTCTACCTGCCGCCTGAGAAGGGATCTGGGGGTCCAAATACAGAAATAATGAATGATATAGGAAACAAGCCAAATAAAATTAATTTTTAATAAATTGTATATTTATTTGATACATTTATCATGATTAAATTTTCTCAGGTTTTTTGATTCACATTGAAAGCACTTTTTTTTATTTTAAAAATATTTTTTAATATTTGGTTCGGTCGTTAGCATCTCCTGAACTGATGCCGGTGTTACGTCACGGACCTGTCATGGCACACATTCTGGACACTGCCATGTCATGTACAGGTACAGTACATAGTTTTTAATATGATTTTATTGTATAACCTTAATTTTAAATATATATTTGGTAGGATACAAGATAGTCAAAAAAAAAATTATTTTTATTATTCTTGTTTTCCAGGGCCCATCTATGAAAATATATGATTATTCCAGGGCCCAGTGATCCCCGTCTGTATCACCTGTTAGAGAATGACACCATGGCCCAGGCCGCGCATCATGTCTCTGAAGCTCTAAAATGTGCAATCAACTACTACAGGTGGAAAATGATAAAAATAACTTATTCCATTCACCCTGCAGGATTTATTAAACCGAATAAAATAAATTTTTATCATTAAAAATTTATTTCAACTATTTCTAATACTTCTAATAACAAATGATCTAAAGTTTCAAAGAACTTGTGTTTCAGATTCGAAAATACAAAAAAAAACTTTTCACAACATTTCAGTTTCCATAAAATTAACATCTGATAATACTCGAAGAGATAAACCACTCGTGAACAGATTAAGATTAACTTATGCGGAAAAAAATGTAACAATGGAAATTCTTAAACGAGATGAAATAATTTTGATGTAAGAATGCATCAAGATTATTTCATCGAGCTTAAGAATTCCATTGTTATATTTTAATTCTCATAATATAAATATTATATCATATTTGTGAGGTTCTATGATCACATATTATATTAAAAAATAATTCTGGTGAAATCCGACTATTTCAAGTTGGATCAGTTAACAATATGAACGGTTGCAAATAAGTTTTATGCTCTTGTTCTGACTATCACTTTTTCTTATTTTTCTAATATTACAATGCTAAAATGTTAAAAACCATTTTATAAGTAAAAATTGGTTTTTAATATGAAAGTAATGCATTCAATGAATTCTTACACGATAGGTTTACTACTATGGAACCGAACAGATATAATTGTTAACTAATTTGTTAACTCTGTTAATGTTAACTCTTATTGATCAAAACGGATTTAACCAATTAGAAAAAGGTTAAGGAAGGAAATGAATTTAACTCATTCTGTTCTTTCAAAAATTCCCAACATTGCACTGGTAAGTTTAGGGATGTGACAAATCTTTTCTCAAAAATGTTTTATTTATTTAATTTGTCCCAATTTCGAAAAGCCAGTCTAAATATGTCTTATGTCCTATCGAAGTTTAATTATTTTAAAGTAAGATTAAAAAACTTCTTATTTAGAATATTTTGTTCAAATTTTTATTTTAAGGGAGAAGAACACAACTATTGGAGGCGGATACGGCCCCCGGGGGCCTGGAGGGATGGCCCCCAAAAGGGGGTTTGAAAATTTCCGCGGTGCCCCCAATAAAAGGGCGCGGAGTGGATACGGATTCCGCTGAAATATTCGGTGAATGTTATAAGAAACAAACATTTTTGGACAATTATGTGTAGGAAAAATCAAACAACATTGTTTTTGGACCATTTTTTCATATTGTGATTTAAGGATTTTTGGACTAAATATGTGTTTCTGTTACGCATTTTTAACTTTGGCATAGATGTATTTTGTGCCCTTATTTATTTTTTTTATTTTTTCTGCATTTGGTGTTTGCTTTAAGTTAATAATTTTCAGATGCTTTAAAAGCATAAAATGGCCGTTAACAATATGTACCGTGTCGGGGATTTTGTATATGTCGATAACGGGCCAACGGAGCCCTTTGGGGTTCGACGAATCGACGAATTACAGAAGTCTCCAAACGGAAATGTTGAGGTTGAAGTGATGGTCTACTACCGGCGGATCGATCTTCCGCCGGAGGCAATCAGCGAGGCGGATGAAAATTTGGCGGAATACTGGGATGAAATGTCTAAAAAGTATCCCACACAGGTACAGCTAGCAATCCTTGTCAATGCACATTGAATATTATGTTTTCGAAAACTTCAATGTATGACATCCAGTCGAGAAAAAAAAACGTCTAATGGATCGGTCCAAAAAAAAAACACAATCAGCGAGGCGGATGAAAATTTGGCGGAATACTGGGATGAAATGTCTAAAAAGTATCCCACCCAGGTACAGCTAGCAATCCTTGTCAATGCACATTGAATATTATGTTTTCGAAAACTTCAATGTATGACATCCAGCCGAGAAAAAAAACGTCTAATGGATCAGTCCAAAAAAAAAGACAGACTAAGCCAAGAACTAGGGGGCGGAATTTTTTGGGGGGCTGGGAGTAAATAAATTTTTACAATTTCTTTAAAAAATGTTATTATTATTATAATTATTATTCAACCTTCAATCTAAGTATCATGNGTTTTTTATTGTTTGTTATTGTTTGTTATTGTTTGTTATTGTTTTAATTGTTTTTTTATTGTTTGTATTGTTTGTATTAATTGTTCTTATAGTTTGTCATTGTTTCTTATTGTTTGTTATTGTTTTTATTGTTTGTTATTGTTTGTTATTGTTTGTTATTGTTTTTATTGTTTGTTATTGTTTGTTATTGTTTGATATTGTTTGTTATTGTTTGTTATGTCATTGTTTAGGCCGAGGTTCCAACTTGTACTAGTGCAGACAAGGACACCAGGAAGTTTGAGGATTTAGAGGTAAAATCAGAATTTCAAGATATTTGTTTTCTTTTCTTAAACTTCAGTTTATTTAAGATACTTTTTATTTTAGCTGCACTTGACTTCGTTCTAATCAAACCCCGCCTACTCTCCCAATTATTTTTAATTATCATATATTGCGCTGAAAACATCATCAGGACACACAGACATAAATATTAAATTGTAAAACAATGAATTAAGGATTACACAACGGTACCCTTTAAATAATGAAAGAGATTTCATTGATTTTCTTTTAAAAAAACGTTGATCAAACAGATTTCTGATTTAGAAACTAAAGAAAAAAATGTCAGAATTAACAACTTTTCTAGAAAAACGACGATATCTTTCACATTGTTTCTCAGATTAGTGTTTATGTGGTACTGTTGTGAATTTGACATGATCGTCAACAAATGTTATTTAGTTCAATTGTTGTAGGAGCTGTGTTGGTCCCCTGAGAATGATCTAGCAGATAAAACTATTGACCAGTTCCTTGTTCTAGCAAGGAGTGTGGGAACATTTTAGCTTGGAAACCCAGCGCTACCAAGATTACTCATAGTTAATCCCGCCGTTTACCCGCACTTAGACGATTTTAACAGGGAAACTAAATTTTCGCTATAAAAGCCGACCCACTTAACTTAGAATCTCAAAACCAAGCTAAGAATATTCCCGTGGCTCTCCCAAGTGTATAACAAAGCTCTTCGCTCATTTATTTATTTATTTATATATATTGATATGTTATCTTTAGTTGGCCAAACGGAATTTTTGAGGAAACCCATGGGTAACACAGGCTTAAAAATATTTGATACAAATTTTTTCATAGTGTTATCAAAACTCCACGGGCAACGCCGGCACTTAATCTTGTTTTTATTATTTTTAAATATGGTTGTCTTGAATATTTGTTGTTTCCCCAGTCTGAGGACAGTTTCTTCTACAGTTTGGTGTACGATGCCACCAACAAGTCCTTGTTCGAGGACAGAGGGGAGATCAAGATAGGAAACAATTATCAGGTATTAAAGACTAAAGATAAGTGGAAAGATAAATAATTCGAAAATTCTTCTTTTGTTAAAAAAATCAGTAAATCTTAAATATATCTTCAAGATCCGGATTTAGATCCGAATCCACTTTTCCAGTGCGGATCCAGGATCCTTATCCGCATCCAAATTAAATGGATCCTAAGCACTGGCCTTAATAGGTTTCAATCTTAATTTAGTAAACTCGCTTTTGATTTGAGAAGTGAATTGTAGGATGTCGTCTGATACTCCGATATGCTTGCAAAAATATACAGATCCTTGGATTTAAACTGCGATTTGGCAAAATATAGCAAAATATCACTGTCAAAATGGAATTGATCAAAAAGTAGTTAATTTTATCTATTTAGGAACTAGGCTGTAAACACCAAGGATTTTGCACCCTTAGTTTTTTTTCGGAAAGGTTTCGAATTTTCTTTTTTAAATCTTGTATTTTTTTAGAGCTGTAGACGAAGCTTCGACATTAAAACAGCCTTCTCTACACATGTCAGCAGCGGCAGCTTCACGTGACGTCACTCTTTTCAATGCCATGGGACTGCTTCATGCTTCTAAATATGATTTTGCTAAAGCTGCTCTCTCATTGGTCAACAATGGTTCCCCCAGGTAAACAATAAACTGCTCTCTCATTGGTCAACAATTTTTCTCACAGTTATACAAAAAGTGCTCTCTTATTAGCTATTCGAATGTCGTCTGAAAGCATTTATTATTGGAAAAATCTTAAAATTTGGTAGATTTTTTTTATACTTGAGAGAAACATTAAGATTTTTTAGAACCATTAATCTACTGGGTCTGATAATCAATTCTTTTTGAAATCAGAGTTCTGCTTCTAAGATTGTAAATCTAGGTTGTCCACAGACCAGATGGAAGAGTGGACTACAGCAGAGGCGGCCTTGTTCGAGGAGGCCATGGAGAAGCATGGAAAGGCCTTCAACGACATCTGGACAGATTATATGCCATGGAAAACTGTTAAGGTTGGTATTAATTGAGGAACATAATGCTTTAAAAATGTGTCTCTATTTTGGTCTATTTTAAACTCGTTTGGTTGGGTATTTGATTGGTTGTCCGGTTGGTTGGTTGGTTGGTTGATTGGTTGGTTGGTTCGTTGGTTACTTGATTGGTTTATTTGTTTGTTTGTTTGTACGTTTGTTGGTTGGTTGGTTGGTTGGTTGGTTGGTTGGTTGGTTGGTTGGTTGGTTGGTTGGTTGGTTGGTTGGTTGGTTGGTTGGTTGGTTGGTTGGTTGGTTGGTTGGTTGGTTGGTTGGTTGGTTGGTTGGTTGGTTGGTTGGTTGGTTGGTTGGTTGGTTGGTTGGTTGGTTGGTTGGTTGGTTGGTTGGTTGGTTGGTTGGTTGGTTGGTTGGTTGGTTAAATGATTACTTTTCATTGATTGAATAATTGATATTTATTTCTAGAATCTGGTTGACTACTACTATACCTGGAAAACAACTGACAGATATGTTCAACAAAAGCGTCTCAAGGAAAGTTCAACAATTTACATTTTATTAAACAAATAGTTAGATTTAACAATTAACATTCAGACGGATTTTATTTCAAATAAAATATTTTCGGAAAACAAAGATAAAAGTTACTAATTACAATTAACTCTTGATTTAATTAGTAACAGGCTCAATTAAAAACGGACACCGTAAAACCTTTACATTATGGTGGTCATTTGAAATTTCGTTCCAATACCAATACTTCGGAGTGTAAGCTAGTTGTTGAACATATTATGATTAGGCTGCTGAACATGAAACTAAACTGAAACAGGTTTATGTACCAGACTATACTAAACATGGTGAGCAGTCCCTTTTGATCGATTGATTAATGAAATGTTTGAGTTGATTGATTGATAGATAGATTGATTGATTGATTAATTGATGGATGGAGTAAATGCTTGATTAATGAAATGTTTAAGTTGATTAATTGATTGATTGATTAATTGATGCCCTTTTATCATTCGGATTCCTGGTTCCCATTCTCTAATTTATTGATCAATTGATTAGTTGATTGATTGATAAATGGTTACTGTGATTGATATGTTTTTGATTGGTTGATTGATTCAATGTTTTCTGGATAGTACTGAACATAGCAAATACTGAATATTTCCCCCTTTAATCATTGTTAATTGCATCTTAAAGGGACTGTTCACTTATTTGGGTAATTTGAGGGTAAACTAAATAGCCTATTAGCTATTCAGTGGTTTTAGTCTTACTTTTCAAAGACAATTGTGGCCTGAGAAAACTCCTATGATACCTTCGCATAGGCATTATTTGATGCTTTTTGTCATAGTCATGGATTTTTAAAAATTCGTAAAAATTGAATTGTAGTATCTAATAGTTAATTGTAGATATCTTTAATTATTGTCAAAATTATTTTAAAATTGTCTTTTTTCAAAATATAACTTTAATATTGTGTGAGAGAGAAAGTCGTCTTTGTATAAACATGTTAATTTGTTAAATAATGTTTGATCACGAAAAACGTTAATTTCTTGCTTATTCTAAAACCAAATACATTTAATTTCTTTGTTTTATGTATTCTTTCTTGATTCAATTTTTGTAAAATACAGAAAGTACTCTGCTATGACGCCTGGAGGGATGAATCGAGATTTATCTGGTATAAAACTACCAGGGAATAAGGTACTATATAGAACCCACGAAACCTAGGAATAGGAAGACGACATTCTAGTTTTCTAATGTTTATTTGATGGGGTTACACGCCAAAAGTTTCACAAGTAGATTAATAGTTAATTTATTATGAGAAACGGGTTTGTATGCTTTCATGCTGTTTTTCATGTTCATTGGATTATCTATTATCAAAATAATTAAGTCTTTACAGTCTACTCTACTTCCTATTCCTTGATTTCCACCGAATGATGGGTGATCTTTTATTTATTTATTTATTTATTTATTTATTCCACAATTGGATGGTCCCCACTGTATAGCATAAAATTAATATTATAATTTAGAATGTGCTTCTTTTTCTATTTAATTTTTGAAGGTTTTCTTATGGTTTGCTAAAAATACTTTTTCAACAAGCAAAATTAAGATTCGGATTTTCGGCGAAATCCTAAATCCGCAATTACAGATCATTCTTTTTCTTATTTAGCTAAGATGGGAATTTTTGCTACTTTTTCCTCTGGAGTGTTTAAATAATCTGAAAATAGCCCACTTTGCAAAGTTTGGGTGAAAAAATCATGGATTTTTAGACGATTTAACTGTTTTTTTGGGGGGAGGGGGGAGGAGATTATAATTTTTTTATTTACCTTGGGGTTGCTTTGCAGTTCAAAAATAGTTTACCCTTATTCCTACTAAAACGTATTGCATATAAAAAATTTATTTTAAATTGTGTTGCAGGGTAAGAAAGCTACTACACTGTTCCTGATGCCAACTTTAATCGCGAGAATAGCGAGGAAGCTGCCCAAGGGATTATCACTTAATGTCAGGTTGGACATATTCTAAAGAATCTTTGGTTTTACCTTTAAAAATCTTTACTCTTGCATCCAGGGCCAAAAAAAACTATTTGCTTGCGTTTAAGGGTTCATCTAGAAGAAATCTGGGTTAACATTGTACAATTCACTAAATACACCCAGAAAATGCCACTGAACAATATTTAGTCACATAAAATGGTAACTAAGCCATTGAATCTGTCGCAAGTAGTATTTTAGTCCATAGAATCTGTCGCTAAAAGTATCTAAATCTATAAAATCTGCCACAAAATCTCTAGATGAAAACCTTAAAATTATGGTTTAAAGTTTTAATACATCCTTAATGCTTTCCAAAATAGACTAAAATTATTAAAAAAAAAAGTTTATTACAGTAGTGCTAACATATTTAACCTGGAAAAGAAAACTTTTGATAAGGAAAATTTGCAACAGTTCAAAATTAATAGAAATTAAGACGACGGCAATAATTCCACTAGTTACAAAATTAATATTTCAGGAGATTAGGAAGGAAACCATTCCGTCTTGTTTCCCAGGAGAAGGTTAGACAGGACTGTGTCAAGCTGGTCTCGGAGCAGTCTCAGGACAAACTCAAGATTCTACTTATCAGAAGGAAATCAGACATTGAACTTTTCTATATTTTACTAAATACTTATTGATACTTGTGAAGTAGTTCTCCATCTTCCATCAAGGAATGTTGAGAATATCTTGATTTCTTCATGTGTGGTCTGTGCTAAAGATTATATTTATTATCCTGACATTGTTCTCATACTGGTAGCCACTCGTTCAGCATTGGTTCTTTTATCATTAAGTGTTTTTTTTTCTACTAAATTGGATTTTGTTGCTTTCAATCAATTTAGTTTGTATGAATTTTTATCTAATGAAAATCTTATTAATGCATGGGAAAAAACAAATTATTCTAAAAGTCTTGATTTTTTGTATTTTTAAGAATTTTGTCAATTTAACTTTTGAGTTTAACGTCTGGTTTTTTTTAGAAAGTACAAGTCTAAGCATGACCTGGCTGGGGTGACCGTCAAGTGTGGATACAGCGATGATTCTCGACCTGAGTGGTTGAGGCCGGCGCAGAAGGATCAACTACCACAACCGGAGCGCGAGGCATTCCCTCGACCCAAACCTGGCGACAAACCGGCGCGCGCCGGACCTAGTTTGAACCGGATAAAGGTTGCCGCGGCGGCGCGCGGGAGCGTGCGGAACGGAATTGAAGTGAAGGTGGCACCGGACGATATTTTTTTTAGATCGACGAAAACTTTGGTTGCTCAACGGAACAGTTTGACGAACAAAGTAATAAAGAAAATAGCACGGCGGCCAACTAAACCATTGGAATGAAAAAAAATGAAATGAACTAAGTAAAGAGTAAAGTACCATGTAACCTAATAAAAATTATTTAAAAAAAAACCGAGTTTAAAGAACTTGATGATGAACTTGAAAAATACTTTTGAATTAAGAAAATTCTAAAATCCAAATGAAATTATTTTTATATATTATATATTATAATATTATAATATTATAATATTATAATATTATATATTAGTTTTATTTAAACCTTTTCACCATCCAGTATTCAGGAATCATCCATTGTAATTATTGTACTTGTACACTGACACTTTTGAACTCTCTTTACAATGTAGACCACACCATACTGTTCAATTCTCTGTTTCATTTTGTTTAATTGTTTTATCTTATTTTTTATCTATTTTATTTGTATCATGACTTCTGTTACCTACATTTAAGATCTAATTTTTTTAGACCCTTTAAAGATTTATGAAAATGTTTTAAAGGGACAGTAAACGTAATTTCAAGTGACCTTTCATTAATAGGATCAATTTAATTTTAATGCGGATCCCGATCCCGGATCCGCACTGGAAAAAATGGATCCGGATCCAGGTTATTTCTTTAAAAACTGAATATTTTAAACAAAGCAGAATTTTTAAATATGTGTCATATTTTTTTCGCTTATTTTTATGCTAAAACTTGATGAACTATTCAGAAATCAGAAAATTTTTATACTCTCTCTTTTTTCAATAGTTCAGATTTGGGTTTTGGGAGTAAAATTATTCTTTTTGCAGTATTTGGTTGATATTTTGCCTGAAAAGAGACTATTTTGGATTCCGGTTTCCATTCTAAAGTGACTTGCAGTTGATCCTAATTTTTACTCAGATAAAGGTTTGAATGGTACCGTTGTGAAGCGGACATTGCACATCTTCAATCATGAAATTACGTGTTTAGTCCCTTTATAAGTGTAAAAAGAATCAATATCTGTATATTTGTACCACACATTTCTATGAAATAATAAAAGGGAGAATTCCAAAAAAAATGGTTGGGATAAGAAATACAGAGATTAAGAAGTTCTGTGTATTTTTTAGTTAATATTTGAGATTTGTATTTTGAAAGCAACATTGTTTTGAGAGACCATGGTCGATAATTATTCCGGATTCGGACCCAGGAAGCCAAAATGTTGCGGATCTAATGGATCCGGACCCATTGCACTGCTTTTATTATTTAATAAGCTTTATCATTGCTCCTGAAACCTAGCTCATGTTGAGATAATTTTTTCTCATGTTTTTTCGTATTAAAATTTGAAAATCACTCGTTGAAATGCTTTATGGCATTAGACAACTGAGACATTTTAATTCTCAGATCAGAACTTTTTATTGGATAGCGCAAACCTATTCCGCCTAAACTTTCACAGCGGAAATTTTTTTATCTTAAGCAATTAAGAGGTTAATCTGCGATTTTTTTACGCAATATATATTATTGGCAGAGTGTTTTATTGAGCTTTTGATTTGATCTGGACCTTAAGAGAACTCCTAAAAGTAGAACTTAATCTCACTGACTCTCAAGAGATTAACAATATTAAAGATCCGACCTCTGCATAAAAATTCAAATCCTAATATTTAAGTAGATTTTCAATATTTACTCGGGGATTCTTTTTCTAGAAAACCTTAATCTTCCTTTTATTATTGTTGTAAAATAAATTCTGCCATATTATTAATTGTTTGTATTTATTTTCATCTGTATCTAACTCCACAATATGTTTAGGAATGTAAACATTGTTCAGATTTCTATGTCGCTGTAAAAATGGGAGAAATGTTTGGTTGGGACGGCGAGTCCCCGGGCCGGCTAGCTGCGCCGGTCAAAACTGTGGAGGATAAATGGAAGCTGGTTCCAGCCTTTCTCAAGGTAGTCCCCAAACACTACAGTGTACATGGTACAGGGTACACTAGCTTGACTTTCGAGGATTTTTGTAAGTTACGATCAAGTGACCCCATTTTAAGAGATGTATGCCAAATTCACAATGGTACCCTTTAAACCTTTATCTGAGCAGTGAGCATTCATTTATCCTAGTTGGAAACATTAATTATTAATTTCCACGGTGGACCAAGGAATCTGAATGTCACTGTTTCAGAGAAATCGTAATTTAATATCAATTTTCAGACGGAAATACAAGGATAATTAATATTAATTTTCAGGCGGAAATACAGGGATAATTTAATATTAATTTTCAGACGGAAATACAGGGATAATTTAATATCAATTTTCAGACGGAAATACAGGGATAATTTAATGTTAATTTTCAGACGGAAATACTGGGATAATTTAATATCAATTTTCAGACGGAAATACAGGGATAATTTAATATTAATTTTCAGACGGAAATACAGGGATAATTTAATATTAATTTTCAGACGGAAATACAGGGATAATTTAATGTTAATTTTCAGACGGAAATACTGGGATAATTTAATATCAATTTTCAGACGGAAATACAGGGATAATTTAATATCAATTTTCAGACCTAAATACAGGGACAATTTAATATCAATTTTCAGACCTAAATACAGGGATAATTTAATATTAATTTTCAGACGGAAATACAGGGATAATTTAATATCAATTTTCAGACGGAAATACAGGGATAATTTAATATTAAATTTCAGACGGAAATACAGGGATAATTTAATCATTTTTTTTTTTTGGTTGAGACCAAGGATTAAATGGTATCTTTGTGACCCGAAAATGCCTCTCTTTAAATGAATATTCACTTGAGAAATCGTAGACAGTCCCTTTCATAGCTCTTTTTGTGGAAAGGGGGTTTATCATGCGAATGTGCCTTCAGGAATAATATCTATTTTTTGTTCTTATCATGATTTTACATCTACGGTGTACACTGTACACAGTACATAGTTCAGAAAGCTACAGGTATATATGGAAATAAATTGATCATTAATATTATTATACACAAAAAAGTCTGGAATTTAAAAAATGTCATCAACAATAGTTATTATGACTGCTTGCAATTAAGAAGATGATACTTCTAAGAACTAATTTGACCAAAGCTATTGTTTTTGTTTCAATTCTACAATGAATGTAATGTAAGATTGTATTATTGCTAAGTATGAGTCAAAGCTGAATTCAAATTGTTTGCTTAGTGGGAACTCGCCATGGGGTTTTGCTTTTCGCTTTTCCTTTTACTGTGTTCTAAACTAAAAAATAGAAACTAATATTTATGTCGTCAAGATCGATCCTTGATTTCTATAAAATCATTCGGTGATTTCTCAGTCTGCATGCTTAATTGATTGATTGACTGGGTGATTGAATGATCGGGCGATTTATGGATTGATTGATGAATTGATTGATGAATTGATTGATGAATTGATTGATGAATTGGTTGATGAATTGATTGATGAATTGATTGATGAATTGATTGATGAATTGATTGGTTGAATGATTGATTGATTGATTGATGTGTAGGTGAAGGGATTGGTTAAGCAGCATATAGACAGCTTTAACTACTTCGCTACTGAAGATATTCGGAATATTGTTCGGGTAAACGAGAAGGTATTATTATTATCATTATTATTATCAATCTATAAATATAAAGTTGTAATCTCTGTTTGTTTGTTTGTTGGTTGGTCCTTTCATAACTGAGCAACCTCTGGACCGATTTGTCTCAAATGGGGAAATCGGTAGACCCACAGGAATGTTCTTAGCTTGGTTTTAAGATTCTAAGTGGTCCACTTTTCTAGGAACAACATAGCTCAAATCTAAAATTTCCACAAAGCGCGGGTTAACGGTGGGACCAACTATGACATTCCAGGGCCACGCTGGGTTCCCAGTCTAGTTATTAATATGATTTTAATTACTGATATATGATTATTAAAATCATTTTCGTTAGATGAAGAGCGAAATTTCTATAAAACCCGTTTATTACAAATTTTAAGATCAAATAATCCCCCCAAAAAATGAAAATGTTTTATTTTTAATTTGTTAATGTTTACATCATTAGATTTATAGTGATGCCGACCCAATGTTCTACTTGAAATACCTGGATATTAGGTAAAATATATATTATTCAGGGGCGTATACGGGATTTATTCCAGACGGGGGAGGGGGGGGGCTTTTTAACTTATCATGGATGGGGTCAGCTTCCATAGCATCCACCTCTTCTTTGTATACGCTCCTGACCATATTTAGACCCCAATTTTCGTATTAATTAACACAACTTTTAAGTATGTCTATTGTTCTAAAAAGGTCTTTTTCAGTTCTTATTTAGTCTTAGTCAAAAACTTATATTCCTTTTTGTTAGGAACTTGATGAACTAAGTTATTTCATCTAAAAAAGTATTAGTTTATTAACTTGAAGGCAGAAATTTAAAGTTTTTTTTCAGTTCTTATTTAGTTTTAAACTTGTATTTAGTCTTAAACTTGTATTCCTTTTTGTTAGGAACTTGATGAACTAAGTTATTTCATCTAAAAAAGTATTAGTTTATTAACTTGAAGGCAGAAATTTAAAGTTTTTTTAAAAAGTTCTCCTTTCTTCTCGAAATGTCTCATTTGATTTAAATATTTGCAAAAATGTTCTGAGTTGGTTCTGTTGAAAACACATTATCCCGATCACTTGATCTCGATATCCACTGTGGACACTTTTAATTTGAGGATCTATAAAAAACTATACCTTTCCATCTCTTCATTTTAGTTATTCTGTAGATTAAATTAATCCGCGATCAAGATCAAGCATTGATATTGATATCCACAATACAAGAGTTACCAGCTCTAAACAGACTTTTCTTTATTGAATAAGATTATTTTTGACTTGAACTAAATATTTGTTAAGGGTTGGAGAACCGAATGTAGAAGAGGGATTCAATATTGTTCGTGCAACCTCCCCACACGACTGCAGGAATATATACATTGCAACATCTATCCAACATCATTCTTTTATCGAAAAATGGGTAAAATTCATTTGGTAGAAAATCAATTTTTTATTTTTTTTTCAGATTTCATGTGATTATGGGAGGAAATTATGTTTTTTTTTTATAAAGGCACTGTCGACAAAATATCAAATGAGCCTCCATGACAACAATTATATACCCGATTCACAACGTTACCCTTTAAATCTTTAACAAGGATAAAATTGTATTTTTTCTATCTATCTCGGAAAAAAGACAATTTCAAAGGTCTCCTACTTAGGCAAGCCCCAATTAATAATTTATCTATTTGCGGAGTAGAAAACAAGGATATCACCATCATTTTTTCTCTTTTAAAAGTATAAAGGGTTCCGTTTTAAAATTGCCCAATGACTCGCTAAATAGAAGTTTTGTTAGAAGCTAAGAATTGCAAGTATAAATAGATTACGAGATATAACCTACTCTGCACCTATCACAGTAGATATAGAGTACACTAGGGGACAACAGAGGGTTATACGGAACAATCTTACAATAGGTAAATTATTGTATTCTTAAAGATTCCGCTTTAATGTAGATTTTGTCTTATAAAGATTCTGCTTTAGTGATTTTGCTTCAGTTTATATTTCATCTTAGAAAGATTCTGCTGCAGTGTAGATTTTATCTTTTAAAGATTCAGCTGTAATGTAGATTTTATCTTTTAAAGATTCTGCTGTAATGTAGATTTTATCTTTTAAAGATTCAGCTGTAATGTAGAATTTATCTTTTAAAGATTCAGCTGTAGTGTATATTTTATCTTATAAAGATTCTGCTGTAGTGTAGATTTTATCTTATAAAGATTCAGCTGTAATGTAGATTTTATCTTATAAAGATTCTGCTGTAGTGTAGATTTTATCTTATAAAGATTCTGCTGCAGTGTAGATTTTATCTTATAAATATCTGCTGCAATGTCGATCTTATCTTATAAATATCGGCTGCAATGTCAATCTTATCTTAAAAATATTCTGCTGCAATGTAGATCTTATCAAGATTCTGCTGTGTGTAGATTTAATCTTGCTGAAATGAGTAAATATTGTGTTCACTGTTCAGGTCGAATGCCGATTATGCTTCGGAGTTCGAACTGTGTTTTGGCGGGAAAATCGGAAGCTGAACTCGCCAAGGAAATTTTCAATCTAGGAGACATGTTGTTTTGAAATGAATTATATCTTTTAAAAGGACTGTTAACGTCATTTTGCGGGGACCTATAATTAGAGACTGACATTCCTAGTATACAACAAATTTTTAAATTATATTTTGAGTAACAATGTGAAAAATATCGATGTTTGAAATCTTGAACGAGTTAAATTTTCTCAGTTTCTTTCTTTGCCTCCACTGTGCAAGTCACTTCTATGCAGAAAATGCAATAATGCATGAAAAAAAAAATTCTCAATTGGAAAGAGTTTGAGATGCTATCAAGTTAAGAACTATAAAACGTGTTACTGTTTATTAAAACTAGCATTCAGTATCATTAAAACAAGACAAAAACATTTAAGGAACATTTTTTACGTTCATAATTGATTGATTGATTATTAGTTAAATGAGTGCCCTCATGACCCAGGCGGTTATTTTGTAGTTCGAGGTCAGGAGAAGGTCATCCTCATTCAGGAACAGATGAGTAGAAACAGGTAGAACAAAGGGGGATAGGAGGTCATCCTCATCCAGGAACTGATGAGTAGAAACAGGTAGAACAAAAGGGGATCGGAGGTCATCCTCGTCCATGAACTGATGAGTAGAAACAGGTAGAACAAAGGGGGATCGGAGGTCATCCTCATCCAGGAACAGATGAGTAGAAAAGGTAGAACAAAGGGGATCGGAGGTCATCCTCATCCAGGAACAGATGAGTAGAAACAGGTAGAACAAAGGGGATCGGAGGTCATCCTCATCCAGGAACAGATGAGTAGAAACAGGTAGAACAAAGGGGATCGGAGGTCATCCTCATCCAGGAACAGATGAGTAGAAACTGGGAGAACAAGGAGTCCATTGGATCCGCATCTTTAAGCTCCCTGGATATAAGTGGCAAAATATCTTCAAAAAGCACAACAAATTTCCCTTTGACTAGTGAAATAATTGGTATAACTTCCATAATCTATTATTTTTTATTCATTTATTTCATTTATTCTAGAATGATCGTTGAGATGGATCGCACAGGATCGATTACCTGCCAGGTGACGAGTTCTACCCATGGAACTAAATCTCGAACCAACGTAACGACTAAGCATGGACGATACTACCTCAAGCAGAACCTTCTAGAGAAGGATGTCCCTGTAGCAATCATATTTAAGGTCAATATTTATTATTAAATAAGAATCGATTTAAGAGACTGTTCTCGTAATTTCAAGAGACTCTCCATTGTCCGAATCTCAACGGTACCCTGCAAAGCTTATCTGATCAAAAATGTATGAGATATTCATCATTTCTTCTTTGAAAAATGGTTATCTTCACATGTGGTTTCTCTATAAAGGGATGTTCACGTGAATTGTAATTGGATTAATCTTCTATTTAAAGAGGGGAATTTACTATTCACTACGATACCCTTTAATCCTTTATCTGATTAATAACGTGGAAGATGTTGCTTCAAAAGTGTTTAGATCTGACAATTTCCTCCATCTGTTTTCAAGTCAGAAATGCGCAGTTCACTAATTATTATTATTATTATCATCTATGTATCTAATCTAGGGTATGGGAGTAGTGAGTGACCAGGAGATAGTTCAGATGGTTGGAACTGAAGATAATATTATTATTATTATCTATGTATCTAATCTAGGGTATGGGAGTAGTGAGTGACCAGGAGATTGTTCAGATGGTTGGAACTGAAGATAATATTATGACAATGTTCTCAGCTAGCTTAGGTACGTTCTAAGAACAACTCAAATGTTGAGAATTTCCTAAATTTTAAAAATACTATCAGCTAAAATCATTGATTATTTCATTGATCTGATTCATTAAAAAATAATTCTCAAAATCATCCCTCCAAAATTAACAATCTATCAGGATTTAAAAGATTGAATTTGCGCTCTTGCTAAACAAATATGTGCTGTAAAATCGTCTGAAAGGTCTCAAGTAAATCCTAAAATATTTCTCTACAAAACTGCATTCTGAGCTCAATTACCATGTCTCACAAGACACTCATTTTAATAGTCAACCCTTGTTTTATGAAGTTGGAGCCGGCGCTCCTCCTCCGTTCGTTAAGTATCCAAGGATAATGCTTAATGTTTCCATTAGCCCGAAATAAGACTTACATAGAGGAGGATCACAGAAATATATATATATATATATATATCGAATTTTAACGATTAAATTTGAGCTTTTGCTGAACAAATATGCGCCGTAAAAACGTCTGAAAAGTCTTAAATGAACCCTTAAAAGGTCTAGCCAGACACTGCACTCCCTTAAATAATAATAATGATAATGAACTGTTCAGAGGAGTGTCACCGTGCCGGAGTATTCACCCAGGAGCAGGCGCTCAAGTTTATTGCCTCCAAAATGAAGCAGAAGAAATATTTCGGAGGCTCGAAAAAGTCTCCGACAGAGGATGCGCGGGAAATGTTGGCAAATACCGTTCTCGCGCATGTTCCAATCGTAAATTTTAATTTCAAGATGAAGGTGAACATTTTTAAATGTCGTTAAATGAATAAGAAAGTAAAAAAGCCTTGCCTTCGAAATTATTTTGACAACAATTGTTAAAGGTTGAGATCTACTTTGATTTCAAACAAGAATTTAACACACTTTAAAGGGACTGTATTCATAATTTGTAGTTACCCTTTATTTAAAAAGAGCATGCCCGATTTACAACGGCGTCGTTTAACTCTTTGTCTAAAAATCGAAGACAGAGTAATCCGTGTGTAAACAATGTTCATGCCATTCTTTAAATGAAAAGCTACTTGAATTTACGTCTATATCTCCATTCAAGTCCCCAAATTTTTATAGTTTTGCAGCTTTTCATAACTTATTCGAAGCCTTAAGATCTGAAAAGTTTCTTATACAGAGCGTCCCATATCATATTAGATTATCTACAATCTTTAACACCAAAATAAATCCATATACTCGAAAAACTTATCGTTTTTTGCAAGAAAATTCTTATATAAGCCTTATTTTATTTTTCAAACTGATTCATTCTAATTAAATTTTCTGATTAGTCCCGAAAATCGTAATTTAGACCCGTTCTCGGTCTAATATGATGTGGGACACCCTGTATTTCTGGTTTAGAACTGACAAAAACGGAAAACGTAAATCAATTCGTTTTTACTGTTTTCCCTAGTTTCTAACGGAAACAAAAGTCTAAACTTGTGTGCAGTGTAAATTCTGTTATATTCAGAATGTGCCTTGACGATTCTAATGTAAACTATGTATCAGTAAGACTAAGCATTGTAAGTTCTGTATCAGAACTATTCCATTCATAAAGCGTTGACTGCACTGCACTAGTGTAAGATATTGTACAATGTACATAAGATAAAGGTTGACTGCACTGCACTACTGTAAGATTTTGTACAATGTACATAAGATAAAGGTTGACTGCACTGCACTAGTGTAAGATTTTGTACAATGTACGTAAGATAAAGGTTGACTGCACTGCACTACTGTAAGATTTTGTACAATGTACATAAGATAAAGGTTGACTGCACTGCATTAGTGTAAGATTTTGTACAATGTACATAAGATAAAGGTTTACTGCACTGCACTAGTATAAGATATTAATGTACATAAGATAAAGGTTGCCTGCACTGCACTAGTATAAGATATTAATGTAGACATAAGATAAAGGTCGCCTGCACTGCACTAGTATAAGATATTAATGTACATAAGATAAAGGTTGACTGCACTGCACTAGTATAAGATATTAATGTACATAAGATAAAGGTTGACTGCACTGCATTAGTGTAAGATTTTGTACAATTTGCATAAAATATTGGTTGACTGCACTGCACTAGTGTAAGATTTTGTACAATGTACATAAGAAAATGGTTGACTGCACTGCACTACTGTAAGATTTTTTACAATGTACATAAGATAAAGGTCGACTGCACTGCACTAATGTAAGATTTTGTAAAATGTGTGCATAAGATAAAGGTTGACTGCACTGAACTAGAAAACTACAATGTACATGAGATAAAGGTTGACTGCACTGCACTAGTGTACGATATTGTACATAATGAAGGGTAGCCAACAAGGGAGGAGACTGTAAAACTGACCTGAAACTCTATTACCGTGTAGACCCAAAAGTTAAATTAAGATTATTAAATGATTTGTCAAAGAGAAAAAACAAGGTTGTAGTTGAAAGGAGTCTTGAATATACGGAAATATAAAGTATAGATTTCGTACAGTCGTCTCTGAAGTCTCTTCTTTAGTGGGTAACCCTTTACTATCTATATGACAGCGCAAACGAATGCATAAAGGTAATCGCCCCTCCCAGCCTTAGTAGGCTTTTGGGATTACTAATTGTAGAATGTTTCTAGTCAATGTACCTGGCTTTGATGATACGACGGGTAATAGAGGCCGAGGGGGATCCCGAGGCCATTGATGACAGAGACTATTATGGGAATAAGAGGATGGAACTTGCAGGTTATTCATTCATTTATTTATTAATCCTTCTTTCATTTATTCATCCTTCCTTCATTCATTTATTCATCCTTCCTTCATTTATTTAGTCAAACTTTCCTTTATTCATTTATATTCATCTTTCCTTCATTCATTTATTCATCCTTCATTCATTTGTTTAGTCAAACTTTCCTTTATTCATTTATATTCATCTTTCCTTCATTCATTTATTTATCCTTCCTTTCTTCATTTATTTATTTATTTTCCTAATTCATTCATTCATCCTTCCTTCCTTCCTTTCATTCATTCATATTTTCATTCATTTATTTTCATCCTTTCATTTTGAAATTTGAACAATTAAAATATGGATCCGGATCGTTATGAACATTTCTTTAAGATTAATTGATTTTTTTAAACAAATGATGAATTTTCAACTTGATTTTCTGAATTTTTTTGCTTTTTTTGCTAACACTCGGTGAAGTATTCAGATCCAAGGAACATTTTAATATTCTCTATTTCCAACAGTTCAGATTTGGGATTTGAGAGCAGAAGGTTCTTTTAACAGCTTTTGGTTGATATTTTGCCCCTTGCATCCGCATATTCTTCCGGATCCGGATCCAGGATGCCAAAATATTGCAACGGATTTGGATCCTAAGCAAGCACTGCTTTCATGTATCCTTCCTTTCATTCATCTTTCCTTTCATATTTTCTCTCAATCATACTTTCATTTAATCATTCATTTATTCATCTCTTGTATCATAAATTCGCTTTTTCATTTGATTCATTTTTGTTCGTACTTTTACATTTTAAGTTATTTTCTAAGAGATATTTTTATATTATATATATTGACTTTAACTTGATGAGTTAGAAACTTATGGATAGAGAAAGCTAGCTGAACTAGCACGCCTTGTTTAACTACTGGTTCATTTAGTCAGTCTCAAAGAATTATTCGAACTATTCATTTCTGTTCAACGACCTCTTTTAATAAAATCCTACTCGGACTTTCCTGAAGAGTAAATTTATACTATTCTATTATTCCCCCCCCCAAAAAAAAAAAAAANGGGAGCTCAAACAGATTGCAGATAAAAATATACCAAAGGTCAATCTCATTTTTTTTAGAATGCGTCCCAACGAAAATGACAATATATAAAGATTACACAGTAAAATATTAAAAACTAGGCTTTTATAATTTTAGCTTTAAACTGTTGCTCTTAAACTCGCCATTTTTTATAAGTTTTAGTCAAATTTTGCGGATTTTTCTGTTTTGATTGGCGCATTTTCAAAACTAATAAATGTCAACATTTTCGAAAAAGATTTTGATTCTTGACGGTCCATATACCTTCCCTGAATCCCTAGGGTCATATGACGTTTTGACGTTTATTGGACACATGTATGTAGGACATTGTGTAATAAAAACTAAAGGAATTAATATTTAGTATCATACTTTGTCGTCTCCAGGTTGTTTAAATGGAATGGAACACACTGTAATTTTATTCAAAAATTGTTAAATTAATCAATGTTTTCTTTAATGGATTAGGTGAAAGCTGCCCAGTTTGATATCGTCAAACATATTCGACAAGATATGATTACAGTAGGACTTGAGAATGCTATCTCTACTGGTAAGATATGATTGATTACAGTAGGACTTGAGAATGCAATCTCTACTGGTAAGATATAATTACAGTAGGACTAGAGAATACAATCTCTACTGGTAAGATATGATTGATTACAGTAGGACTTGAGAATGCATTCTCAACTGACAAGATATGATGACTAGAGACTGCAAATTCTACTGGTACGATATGATTGATTACAGTAAGACTAGAGAATGCAATCTCTACTGTGAAAATATGATTGATTACAGTATACTAGAGAATGCAATCTTTATTGGTAAGATATGATTGATTACAGTAGTACTAAAGAATGCAATCTCTATTGGTAAGATATAATTGATTACAGTAGGACTATCTATTTTGAGCCCGCGATAAAAAAAATTCGGGAAAATATGGCTCGGGCCTAAGCTGTCGTTGGGCCTTATTTACGGCTTGAGCTTTCGGATTCAAGCTGCATCTTATTTTCCACTGAGTTCAGTTTAAAAAAAACCGGTTTAATATTCTATTTGGCGGATTTTCATGATAAGAATTGGCGCATTCCGGGTTTTTATGAGAATTGGGCCTAACTCCTTAAGTCGAGCCGAAGATCTTGCAGCTGTCAATCATATGACTCAAACTGTCGTCAGAGTTGGGTCGAAGATTTGGTCTTACAGTCGGATTTAAGGAATTGCGGCTCGAACCGAAGTTTTTAAATCGTTGGCTCTGGTAAGATATGATTACATGGTTCAGCCGCTTTCCTTTTGGACATGTTCAAGCTGAAGAGAAGTGGTTAAACCACATCTATGTGGTTCAATCTTGTCTTGCTATTCATTAAATCTGGTGGACCTTGTTAAGGTCTGTTTATTAACTAATGATTAATTGCAAGGTGCCATATTAAACCAAACATTGATGATATCATTTTCCAAATTGTTATTATTGTAATACTATTTTTGTAAATGTAAGTCAAATTTTGATTGGATACTAAAATTTATTATCAGCAGAATTCTTATATCATTTCTATCTTAAGGAAACTGGACGATCAAAAGATTTCGGATGGAACGGCAAGGAGTAACTCAAGTTCTATCCAGATTATCATATATATCTGCTCTAGGCATGATGACAAGGTAACTAGTTCTATCCAGATTGTCCAATAAAAGGTAAGGTAAGGCCATTAGAGAATTTCGTACTCAGAATACACCAAATTCCGTAATATACAAGGAACACATTTTTGGTGGCTGTACAAATGTATATTGGTTGTTTGTAAATAATCGCAATCGAAACAGATGCTGTTCCTTCCATAAACTACATTGGTCGACAACTTGACGTCTCCTATATTGGTCGTCAAATGTACGGAGAAATATCTATCAGGTAAGAATTTAGCATGAGACATCTAGCGGCCAACATATCGTCCCCCAAAGTACGTGAACTACACGATCGACCACTTTCTATGGAGAGAACGGGCTCTGGACTTTAACCGAAACATTAAATTGAACCCAGTATTCAAACCTTAGTCGCAGTCCAGAGTTATATAGTTACACATATAAAGATAAAACGGAGAGAGGTAAATTAATTCATTATTTGAATATATTTATTAAAAAACCCTCTCCCCCTCTCATGTCAAAATTGAAAATTATTGTTTCAACAATCAACATATGTCATATTAAATTGAATGTAAACAGACCGCTAAACCAGTGTTTTGTTTGATCCAACCCAGTCCATTTCAGGACTTAGTCCTGGTTACTATATACTTTTAGTATTAGTTTTTTCCATATCTTTGCAGTGTTGTAGAATTTAGATACTTCAAACTATGAATTCTGTTAAATCAAATAATTTAAGTTTAAAATATTGTCCTCTACTATGAAGGACACAAGCACCCAAGAGCCCCTTGTAGATCCCAACGTCAATGCATGGGATGCAAGGAAGGCCTGGGAGCGGGAGTTTAGACTTCATCCCGAAGCTAACAGGGATGAGGTATGCTCCAGGATTTATGTCCAGGTTGGGAAGCTGCTCCATAGATTACAGGAGCGGGCTGACCAGCATACCTGGAATAGAGATGATAAATACATGATGGATGGATTAGCAAATATAGTAGGTCTACACTTCAGATTGGATAAACTAACTGAGGGAGCTACTAAGGGACCTAAGTTGTAAAGGAACCATGGCTGATCATTAAACCATCTAGTTATCTCTATCTAATATGATGTATACATTTATGATTATGTAAATAAATGTATTGACATTGTAGAAGATATGTTTATTACTTTGGGTGTTAATTATTGCACGAGCGAATAATTATATAAAAGTTTACTCTGCATGATAGAGATAGCCCGAAGTATAATATTGCCAGGTTGCAAAGATAACAGCATCGCATAAGGGTTAGGTCCGAGGAATGGAAATAACCCGATCTGCAATGTTGTCAGGTTGCAAAGATAATTGATCTAATACAAGTAGAATAACTTGAAGTGTGATCTTATCAAAGTTTGCTAATTTAAGTTTGCCAATTTATTGCACATTTTTAGTATTAAGAGAATACTACAGTTAGGTTTTGTATTAAATTTTATGGGTGATTTTAACAGAATTAAATAACATGTAATAGAATCTGAATACCCCTAGCATTATTCAAATTAATTACTATACAAATTGGCCCAACTTGTATTCAATCCATACCAAGATGGACTAGTCCAGGTGACTGTTTGTAGGTGACTTAGTCATTTTCCTAGACCTTGCCATGTTGGTACACTAGATTTGTGTCATTTACCAACTGTCTGTACAGTGTACATTAAGTAATTATTTAGAGTGAACTCTCAGTTTGAGAAGACGAGGAAGGTTAGTGGACCCAGATCTCTTCAACCCAGCCAGGAATATAATCAATATTATTTTTTTATGTAAACACTTTTTTATCAGTTTTAATTTATTTTTCAGTTGAAATTATTTCATAAAATAGAATCAAAAAGTCGAATAAATAAAATTTGGGGAATAGTACAGTAAAACCCTTAATAAGGAATAGATCGGAAGAATTTATCAAATGTCGTCACAATTTTTCAATGAGTTTTATACTATATTACGTAAATTTCAGTATTTGCGAAAAAAAATAATTAGCCATGAATATGCGGGAACAGTTTTAAAGAGTTCCATTTAATCATTTAATTAAAAAACTAAATATCTGCAGCATTCCATTATCAGAAAGTGAAGAATACGACATTTGATGAATTCTTTCGATGTATTCGTTGTTAAGGGTTTCACTGTATAAAAAAAAGCTTGATTTGCTTTTTTTTAATCATTACCACAGGAGTGAGGATTGGGGTAGAGTAATTCTTGAAAAAGTAATGTGTGCTATAATTCTGTGAAAAAGGCACAAAAAATCACAAAATCAATCTTAACATATGAATAACGAATACACAGTAAACATCGAATTTTAAAAGTGGAAAGAGAAGGGGAGTCATTAAACACCCTACTGCTGCAGAGTAAACTTCCATCTTTTTTTGTACAGTTAAGTTCAAATATAAAGAGACATCGGAAGAATTTATAAAAAATGTCGTATTCCTAACTTTCTAATAACTGAATGTTGCAAATATTTAGTTCTTTATTTAAATGATTATATGGAGCTCTTTAAAACCGTTCCCGCATATTCATGGCTATTTATTTATTTTTGAAATTACTGAAATTTTCATATAATAGTATAAAATCCATTGAAAAACTGTAAAGACGACATTTCATAAATTCTTTCAATTTCTCAAAGTCTTGGAGTAAACTGTAAGATGTTATTTTCTAAAGTTGATTGATATCATTGATTAGTGGGGTATGCTTTGTCCCAGTGATACTCCTGAAGGGGAGAGTTGTGGTTTAGTCAAGAATTTAGCTCTTATGACACATATCACTACAGAGGTATGATGTTTTATTGTTCATGATTCTGATATCAATCTATTTATACACTTACCATGCAACTGTTTGTTTGTTTGTTCACAAATAAAAAAACCCCAATCAGCTGATCCAAACAGGCCCAAATTTTGTGTCAGTCATCAAGCCCAACTAAAGAAAATTCTACTTCATAGGTAGAGGAGGGTCCAGTTGTTCGTCTAGCTCTTAATGCTGGAGTAGAAGATCTCCAACTTTTATCAGGCTAGTCTTCACTTTAAACCATTGATATTATATATATTTAAATAAATAGACCAGAAATCCATTCAAGATAATGCACAAATATGCAATTCCTACCATTTCAGCAATCGCCTGGCTTATGAAAATTGGTGGTAATGCTGGGCACTTAGTCTGAAGCTTGCTCATTATTATTATATTATTATCATTAACTATTTGTATCATTATTATCATCAATTATCTCTTGTTATTTTATCTTGATCATAGGTGAAGAGATATCTAACCCACGAATATTTACTGTATTCTTGAATGGAAACATACTGGGGGTTACCAGCCACTACAGGAAGCTCATTCGTACTTTTAGGTTAAATTTAATTTAATTTAAATACTTGAAATTTTTAACCTATTTGTAAATCCATATAAGTCCTCCATTTTAGAATACAGCCATTTCTTACTGCTTAAAGATGTCCATGATGGCTGCATTTTTGTTTTGTCCAAATAACTGTTCTTGAATTTGAATATACCTTTTTTTCAGACTTTTTTTTGATGATAAAATTATTTAGATTACTGAGGCGGAACGGAATATTAAACAGTTTTGTATCTATCTATCCTCATCTCAAGACTAGGTGTGTTCAGATCAGTTCAGATGGAGGAAGACTCTGCAGGTACCTGTTTTTTATGTAAAAAGAATAGTTTAAAATTTTTTTAGATTTACAAATTTTTCTGATGATTTTTTTACCATTATGCTTTTTTTGTTTAGACCGTACATTATTGTGAGAAGAGGGCGGTCACTTATCCAGCAGTCTCATATACAGGTACCTGTTAAGTTATAATACATACTGTACACTTTACACTTGTACAGTGAGTCTATAAGTCTGAGTCATTGTTGATCCAGAATTGACTTGAGCAAAAGCCATATCTGGTTAGAGCCAAAAATTTCTGACAACTGATTAATTACTGATTTAAACTATCTTCACAGTGTGTTCGTACATTTTTATTTGCATTGTATGGTGTACACATTCATTTTACAGTATACAGTATTCATGTAGTAGCTTATGTCTGTTGGTGGAGAGAAATTTTTCTAAAAACTTGTCGATTAATTAAACCGCACAAAATTTGTGGAGTGGAGTGGCTAGTGTATGAAATCAGTGTAAAATCTAGTTATAGCTTAAATATAGGTTGATTTTGGAACCCTTTTTTATATGAAATTTTTACAATAATTGTTTGCAGAATTCAATGAATATATTGCTTATTCTAGTCCGATCTGATCTGTTGATTTTACAGACCTTCGGTCGTTAAATATTTATTGTTCATATTTTCAAGGTACAACGATTTAATTTAGTTTTTTTTTAAATTTTAAAAAATTAAATGTTTTAAAAAATATCTGAGATCAATTTACCATATAGTTTCATATTTTACTTTGTCAGATAATTCTTGAAACCTAAAATGTGAAAACTATTTAAAAAAGTTATTTAAAAGTTAAAGGAGAATCTATAAACCCCAACAATCTCCTCTAATTCTCCATGCCAGCCTCATATCTTTCACCCTTATAGACTCACATGTATAATGTATTTTTGAATTTGAATTTTATCAAAATTTTAAAATTGAGTAGTGAATTTAATATTTGCAATTTTCTTTCTCATACTATACTTTAATTAGATATCTAGGCGCCATAAATATCAAATTATGTATTGCTTTAAATGCGCTAAAAAATCTACCTCTCTCCACGGAATTATTTATTTATTCTATTTATTCGTACACAATTATAATGGTACAATTTAAAATCAACGAGAAATGAGATATATAACATATAAAATATAGAATTAATATATAGTCGAAAACAATAAAATAAAATAAAAATAAAAACTTAGTTAGTTTTTACAAATATCATCAATAATTACATCTATTTCATCATAGTTAAATCCTTCTAAAACATTTTGATCTGACCAGATTAATAGTAAATCTTTTAACAGTAGAATTCTCCATGCATTTTCAGCCGGATTCGCCTAAATCATGTTTGACTTTACTATAGACTTGTTCAAGGACAGTTTATCTACATAGGTTTCATTTGCAATATTAGATAAATTCTTACATAATTTTGTTCTTTGGTCATTTTTGCATAAATCAAACAATAGTCGGATGCTGAGCTAGCTCTAGCTCCAAGTTATAAATGCTAGTGAGATAACTTTCTTGAAACCAATGTTTCCTTCCTCCTTGCTATCAGTCCCTGAGTCTTTTTCAAAAACGGTTTGAAAAGGCCTTAATCAAACTAGTTTTACTTTATCCCTTGTTACCCTCAATGATAAAACAATTCCATACAAAGAAAGATATTTTCTAGTTTTGGCCCATACTGCAGGTTAGGGTTTGACAACTTCCAAATAATAAGATCAAGGGACTAATCCATAAAAGACTAAGAAAATAATCAAAACACTTAAAATATAGTTTCAAGCAACCTGCCTTCTAATGAGTCTCTTTTATATATAGACCACAAGGGAAGTTTCAGATAGAAAAATTTAATATGTAATTGTAATAATTATATTGTCAAAATACATAAAAACTAATTCATGTTCAAACACATTCAGGTTTAGGATATCTCGGTAGTACCTGTCCTGGGACTGCTGCCAGGATGATTGCTTTTCTTCTTGTCTGCAAAATACCCAACAGTCCCTCCTGCATGATCCCAAAGGCGCTCTTTACTCATCTTAACCAGAGCACAGAGACATGATTGATTACATCATCTAACTCTTCTTGAAGTTGGTGAAGTTCTTCATGTTTTCCAGAAAATAGAACTTGGGTCTGTAATATTCTGCATAAGATAGATAACTGGAGACCAAGGAGTTATTGAACAAGGAGTATTCATCAGCATTGAACCGTTTCATTCCAGAAATCCCTTGGCAGGGTTGTCTACCACATAGTAGATCAACTTCTCCTTGCTGAGGATATTTCTGGTTGAATTCATTTGTCTTCTTTCCTTCCACCACACAGTAGAGCAGTTTATTACAGCCATCTGTAAACACTGTGCAATCATTTTCATTACATTTAAATGCCTTGGCAGCAGGTTCTAACAGCTCAACGGATATCTGATCCTTACACTTAGTCTGTATCCCTTTTCCAGTACAACAGAAACATGTTGCCCTTCTCCTTTTTATCCTTGGATTGAACAATGTTCTCTGGTCTATAGAATAATCCAACCTTCAGTTTTATCTCCTTTTCTTCAGTCTTAAACTTGAGGATTCTTGCAACAATAAAGGAATCCAAAGTGTTGAGGTTGTTTCTCTTGACTGATACAGACTTCCTTGTAGTTTGGCACTAGCATCTCAACACTAGCTTTACCAACATATCTTAGAAGAGGCTCATCGTCGCAAGTATTAAGACAGAATAGTTCTGTTGGATCTCCAGTTACTTCTAGAACATTATCAACTCCACTAGCAAACCAATGACATTGGCCATAGGTGTTTCCTTGTCATTATATATATAAACAAAGTTTAAACCATTGGTTCAGTATCCTCTGCACCAGAAACCAGCATTGAATTATCCCCAGGAACAATAATAAATCCGATCAATCGCAGCTTTTTTACATCCTTTTTTGATCCATTTAAAGTTTTCCTTCTTCCCCTTGGACTTGACCTGAGCTTTAGTTGAAGATTTCTTTGTTTCTTCAGCAGGTACACTTTCCCTAGGTTATCTTCCCCAACCATCTGTTCTTTAAATAAACTCTCAAATACAAGCCTAGTAGAATAGTAACCATGGCGGATTGTAGCTTATGTTTCTTGGACTTCTTTCTCTCTACTACACGCCTAGAGGACTTCATTACACTGGCTTTCTCATCCCCAGCAAGTTCACAAATCACAATTTCTCCTGATGAGAGGAGAATCCATGTACTTCATTTCGACAGCATCACAAGCCTGCTTGTAATTAAGGATCTCACTTTCAAGGAACTCCTTATGTTTAATAAAAGACTCATATGTGAACTCTGATATCTCTGGTTGGGCCCAGAAACCTTTGATCATCTGACAAAAGTTTTGAGAAAACATTTATTGTGTAATTGTGTAATTAAAACAAATGTGAAACATAAAATTCAAATATTGCCTGCTAAAGGTGTTAGAATTCTCGCAACAATTAATAGATCCAGAGTGTTAAGGTTATTCATCTTTACATAGTCAGACTTTCTGTAGTACTCAGGGTACAAATCCCCGACTACATTCTCCTTCACGGTTTCTTTTCCAAGTTTAACAGGTTTAGTTTTCATTATTGAGGATCCAGTACTCAGGTAAACTGTGTCCCCTACCTTAAGCTCTGCCTGATCTCAGGTTATCTCTGATCCTTTTTAGTTTTGGTTTGAGGAATAAACCTTTTGAACAGACATATCTTACAACCATTACCAAATACCCCTTTATTTACCAGCCTCTGCAGAATACTTGAACCTTCCAAGTTCAGCATCATACCATAATAAACAGAAACTTTTCCCAAGTTGGTGGAGTTGAACCCCCTAGTTTACTCCACTATGCAGGATCTGGCACTAGCATCTCAACACTAGCTTTACCAACAAACATAGCTTAGAAGAGGCTTATCGTCGCAAGTATCAAGACAGAATAGTTCTGCTGGATCTCCAGTTACTTCTAGAACATTATCAACTCCACTAGCAAACCAATAGATATGGGTCATAGGTTTTTCCTTGTCATTATTCATATAAATAATAGTTAAAACAAATGGTTCAGTATCCTCTGCACCAGGATCCAGCATTATATTATCACCAGGAACAATAATATCTCCCATCAATCTCAGCTTTTTTACATCCTTTTCCGATCCATTTAAAGTTATTCTTTTTTCCCTTGGAGTTGACCTGAGCTTTAGCTGAAGATTTCTTCATTTCTTTACAATGTTTAATATAAGTCTTCACTAACTTCCCTAGGTTCTATTCCTCAGCCATCTGTTCTTTAAATAAGCTCTCAAAAACAAGCCGAACTACTGGAGTAACCATGGCAGATTCGAACTTAGGTTTACGGGACTTTCTCTCTACAACAAGCTTTGAGGACTTCTTTGCAATGGCTTTCTGAACCCCAGCGAGTTCACAAATTCTCTTAATGAGAGGAGAATCCATGTACTTCATTTCAACAGCATCACAAGCCTGGTTGTAACTCAGGATCTGATTGTCCAGCAACTCCATGTGTTGTAATAACAGACTCAGATGTGAACTCTGATATCTCTGGTTGGGGCCCAAAAACCTTTGATCATCTAACATAAATATTAAGAAAACATTTATTCTTTCAAATAGTGTAATTAAAACAAATGTGAAACAAAAAATTCTAATATTACTTGCAAAAAGTTTTAGAATTTCAAAAATGCAATTAATGCCTTTACAGACATTTGACACAATCCAAATATTTTTCAGGCATTTCAAAACATTAAATATTAGGTTCACAGGTGTATATAGTAGAAACCAGACAAGTTTTCATTCTTTTCGTAATTTTTTCACTATTCAATAATTTTGATGTTTGCATTTTATCATAATTTTAATCATAATTGGGCAGGGTAAGTTATAACAATCCAATATTGGAGTTTCCGTACTGAAAGGATAATTACGGACACCGCTGCGCAATTCTCTCTTGGTGCAAAAGGGTTAATGGCCAGATCATGGTCTTGTGGATGGTCTATCTTGGACTACTTGACACTTGAACTAGAAACTCAATTTAATCAAAGGGTTCCTAAGATCCCCCTGTTCTTAAGAAAGCTAGATTTTATATCAGTTCTAGTAAGATTACTGGTGCTCAGACTGGTCCTGCACTCTGCACAGACCTATGTTTTCGAAAACTACAGAAGCTTAGATCTGGTTATAAGGTCTAGACTACCTGACAGATGTAGGAGGGCAGAAGGGCTAAGATTTGATCTTTACAAATTGATCGTGTCCTAGGGACAAGTAAATCTCTGTTTTTGATTGTACAAACATTTTTATTTTTACATATAATGTGAAGGTTTAATAAAATAAACTACTTAGTTTTTAAAAAACATGTAAACTATTTGAATAATGAAACTTTCCAATTCCCCCCCCCCTTTCAGAATATACATTCTAGGTGTTTTTAGGACCTAGTTGCTGGCAATCTTGTGTTCAAGGACCTGGTGAAGGGAGGGTTTCTGGAATACCTGGATGTGAATGAGGAGAATGATAGTAATATTGCTCTGTATGAAGCTGATATTGGACCCTCTACTACGCATCTAGAGATAGAACCCTTTACATTACTAGGTAGGGAGGGGGTATATAGGACCCTCTACCATTTATCTAAAGATAGAACTATTCACATAACTAGGGAGGGAGGGAGGGGGGATATAGGACCCTTTACCCTTCATCTTGAGAAAACACTTCAAATTACTAGGTAGGAAGGGAGGGATATAGGACCCACTACCTTTCATCTAAAGATAGAACCCTTCACAATACTTCACATTCTTTGTTATAAATTAGCATTGTAATACCTAATTTCAAAAGCCATAATAATGTCTGCTAGAGTTTATTTTATGAAAAGGGTAAAAGTCTGTAAACAAACATGTGGATATAATGTCTTCGCAAGATGAACAGTGAAGACGGACAAGTTTACTCTGTTTGTATAATGCAATTTTCTTGTTTTTCTAAGTACAACCAAATGCAGTCAAAACATAGACAAACAAAATGTGAACATAGCAGACGAAACTCTTACAAATTACAGCTTTCTCAGTATGTATCACTATACCAAATCAAAGAATTATCTA